TGTTTGATAGATGTACCGCCCCAGTCAAACTCCCCGCCTGACAATGTCATCGGCGCGGGTCGCCGGCGCACCAAGTACGCCGGCTTAAAATCAATCACAAGTTTTCAGAGAAAACGTTCCCCGTATTACCGAATAAGTAAGGAAACGATGAAAGTAGTGGTATTTCACTGACGTGCCGAAACACTCCCACTTATACTACACCATGCATGATTCTTCACAAAGTCAGACTAGAGTCAAGCTCAACAGGGTCTTCTTTCCCCGCTGTCTTTGCCAAGCCCGTTCCCTTGGCTGTGGTTTCGCTAGATAGTAGTTAGGGACAGTGGGAATCTCGTTAATCCATTCATACGCGTCACTTTTGCGACTCCTGAATGTTTGCCAGCCGTCTTCATTGTTCCGACGCATGCGTCATCACTTAGATCGGGGGCGCTGGTGCTCTCGTACCAAATTGTACTCCCAGCTTCACATTCGGACCACCATACCTCAACGAGTGTTCGGTATTTGGTGGCACCTGCCATTTAAGACAGGGCGTAATCATCACGGGTTAAAGAGAACTGTTCCTAACTACATCGAACGAGACCACATGCTTGGGGGGCACGGGCTCATTACCAGAGTTTCGGAGTTTTGGTCTGTCATAGTTACATATTGCCTGCTACCCCACGTTTGTTGCAGGTCTTCCATTACCGGCTGTTCCAAATTCGACTTTTGCCTGCAGAGCTGGCCACTCAAGCATGTTCTTATTGGTGCGTTCTTTTTGTCATAGTTACATGATATACTTATTAGTATTCTTGTTATTCTTATCTGATTTCTTATTATTTCATGCTTTTCTTAGAGTGCCAGATGCCTTTTAATGATACGACATGAGCCAAGGACTGCGCTCCGCTCCATACGCTCAATGAGGTTATCAGTAGCCGCTCCACCGGTGAGCCGTTCTACATCTTTAACCGTGCATGGTAGGATTTCGCCTCCAGCACCAATCACTAGCGTATATACCTCGACAGGAAAGCCGTACTGATCGTTTAGTTCACGGACGATATTCCACCCACGGGAAGAGCCATCGGCTTCGTATTCTCCGTTTACCGTATACTTGTACACTTTCCTATCGACCATTTCCTGTAACCGTCCCCGCCATGAGACAGCCACCTCAATTATATGAGTTCGCTTACTAACCTTATCTATGAGAACAATATCCGGACGGCAAGCTTCCAGTGCACGGGTGCATGGGAACTTGTAATTCCAGTATAGCTCTACAGACTGATCGCCGTTTTTCTCTATTGTCTTGACTCGCTGCGTATAGTGTGGCACAGGGATTCCATACCTTATGGCGAGGTATGCGTAAACATTTCTTGCAACACAGTCATGCCGCTCTATGTACAGGTTTGTACGGTGAGTCGGACAACCAGTTACAATATGGCTTACGGATTCTATGCCATCCCCACATAATCGGCAATATTTCGTATCACACTTGTTCCCAACAAAGCCTCGACAAAAGATACTGTTGTCTTGAATGCCAATTCCAATACGAGCGTTATTCGCACTTAGGTTACCTCGATTGATCCATAAACTAGATCTTTTAATGTCTACATGGTCGTTCTCCCAACGTTTATAGAGCCCAGTGTTCTTCCATGCCGTGAGCCAAAGCTCGTGATAGTGGTTTCGCACTATTTTCTTTACATCTCCCAGAGTAGATGTACTCAGCTCAATATTAATGCCGCACTTATCTAAAATTGTCTGTGCAGCAGTGATTGGGCTGGTATTCTGTTCTGCAAGGAAGTCTTGGAACTCATTAAACGAGGGAGCAAGTCTGCAGTAGACAGCTCTGGCTGCAACCGCCTCGACCATTATCCGGCAGAGGTTTACGAAACCAATGCCGCCAACTTTTCTATCAAGGTAGAGCCGGGCTACATTACTTTTCTTGTATCTGATCTCGTACTTGACGAGTCTTCTTCGAATTTCGACATCAATGCCTCCAAGCCTATTGTACACTTTAAGCACATCGCGTGGCGTGACCAGCATACTCTGCACAACGAACCTCACCAACGGCGCGATCTTAGAGTTAACACGCGATATCCGTTGGCGGTAACTTAGTTCGGCTGCTCCAAGACTAGTATCTACTTCAGTTAGTATTTTCTTTTCAAGTGCGGCCATGGTGGCACGCACTTGGGTGATTTCCCGTTGGGGAACACCTAAGTACTTATATGATTCCTTAAGGTGCTCAATCCCGTTGATTTCCTCTGGGAGGTCGTCGCCGAGAATTGCGCATTTCTTAAGGTTCATACATAGACCTAACTTGTTCGATACCGTCTGCAGCTCTTTTATTAGCCGTGTCAGAGTTTCCTGATCTTTGCCATACAACTTGATATCATCCATATACATTTGTATATCACTACTTTCGATCGTCTTGATATGACGTACTATTATACTGGTCACCACGACAAACAGTGTTGGGCTTAGACTATCGCCTTGAAGAACGCCCCTTTTAATCGGGTAACTAGGGCCTCGTACTACCTTTCCAGAGCTTTTAAGCTCGAGGTGCGTGCTCCAATTCTGCATACTGTCAAGCAGGTAGTTGTTAATACCTGTCGGAAGCTTTAGAACTCCTATGACGAACTTTATAGCATCATGGTTAAGACTGTCATAAGCCTTTGAGAAATCTACCCACGCTACCTTGCATTTCTGTGTTCGATCAGACAGCTTCCGCTGTTTGATCTGATCCCATATCTGAGACTCAACACATGCCCATACCTTACGTCGTAAAGCCATTTGCTCTATCGGGAGAGCTATCGTATTTTCGACGCGTTTCAGGATAACTTCAGAAACAACCGAGTTGATCATTTTGAAGCATCCGTTTAGGCAGGTGATAGGTCGGTAGTTCTCGGCTTTGGTCGGATCCCCGTCTTTGTACAGGAGCACCGTGCGTCCACTTGAAAGTTTCCACGGATAGTGCCCGGTCCTCAAGGAATCCAGCATTAGCTGCTTTAACCAGTCCACAATAAAGTCTTGTCGCCAATAGTAGTTAAAAATACCGTCCGGTCCAGGAGATTTCCATGGACTAGCCCGACTTATGCCTTGGACTACCAGCGGCTCCATCTGATCCGGCAAGCTGCTTAAATTACACTCGACGAGTTCTTTCCAATCTGAGAGAATCGCCGAGTTCTCAGAACATTTTTGTCCGGATGGCTGGGCCAATCCAGACCAGTACTGAGTCGCGTCTTTTACATTCGGGGCAAACCCTTGACCCCGAAGAGCAGTCTTACCATATGGACCAGCGGCCTCTCTGGTATCCCTTCGCAACCTCTCTGCGGTTCTCACTTGAATCCGCCCTTTAAGTAACTCAAGCTTGCGTTTGAGGTGGACTGACACACTGTCCAGGTCCATCTCGGGGAATCTTTCCCTTCGCAGTTTGGCCACTTTTCTATAGACAATTTCTTGTCTTTCAGTACGTGCCTCGTTCTTAGTACGGCGCGTCGTCTCGACCCAGCCAATCTGCTGTCTTAGTTTCCTTTCCGTCATTTTCATATTTAGAAGCCAAGTTTTATGGGCTTCGCGGGCGGCGTCCAGGGGGCGCATTACCGCGATTGACCGGATAGCTGCATATAGCCCAGCGTTGGCAAGCCGCCACTGTTCACATACAGGTTCGCTCACAGTCTCGAGTCTTAGGCGCTCGACTGTTGTTCCAATCCACATCCTTTCGTCAGGGGATAGGTTCTTCAGCCTAGGTAGCCTTCGTCTCATATAAGACCGTTCCGCTCTATCCAGCTGTGCCTTAAACTCAGCTTCTAATCGATCGTTAGTAGTTGGGGAATCGATCAAGTTGTTTGCGACTGGGACATCTTGGGGACACCCAGCCGCTGGCTCGTTGACATTGTTATGTCGTCTTTCATATACTCCTTCTGCCAAACCCGGAACAGAAGAGTTCGCAGTTCCACTTAGCTCTTTCGGCTCAGTGCATTCTACACTCATATTTTCCTCAACATTCTCAACTCCGACAATTCCTGTTAGCAAGTTACAGATTAGTGGAAGACTTGAAGCCTTGGTATCAAGAGGCGTTTCACAAGTCCTTTTCCGCTCAAATTCATATCCGTTCGGCACGCTGCTGGGCGACTGTAACCCAGCGGCTAACCTGTTTCGTTTGCGCCGTACTATAGGTGTGGGGTTGCACTCGTATCTGAATTTTTCGAAGTACTCGTCCCAGTATTCCTTATAGTCGGTGCCTTTACCTCGCTGTATTAAGGACCATCTTTTCGCGATGGTAGCCTTGCTACGTCGGGTAATTCCTGCTCGCCGAAAAGCACTCTCGGCGAGTTCAATACTCTTGTTCTGATTAGCCGTATAGGCATGATGAAGCAAGAACAGAATCTCGCATTTCAACCACGCATCGGTCCGAGGCTTAGAGCACACGGTACCTTTGGTTTGCACATAACAAAACTCACACTTGGAGCCGTAGCGATGTGCTTCTTTATATTCCAGAACATCAACCAGGAATCCTCCATTTCCCGCCTGGGCGTGCTCAACGTCGCCAATCCCGGTTCTACCGTCCAGAGGCTCAGAAGGTCGTATTCCAGAGGGTCCTGGAGGTTCACTGGAGGGGAACCTAATAGCAAAATTCCTATCCGCAGTCCCAGCGGGGTTACCATCGGCTGGCGGAAAGACCACAGCATTATTACATGTCATAGATGTTTTATAATGAGCTCTAGTGGTACCCTTTTCTCGGTCTTTTATAAGTGGCGGGTTGGTATACTTTTGAGCAAATTTCTGTATCCTTTCCACTTACGCTCGGCTTTTGCCGGCTCCCTATTATTCGCGCGGTCATCTCGGCATTAAAGATGTTCCCCCGCCGGTGTAGGTACCACCGTGGTGATCACCAGCAAGCTGCTTCACACCTTTTAATTGCGCCCCGTGGTCTTGGATTGGATCCAGACTTTCACATAGTTCACAACTTGGCGAGTATGGTTCCGGATACATCGAATGACAGTAGCGAACTAGTATCACCTGATGAACCTTCCCCATCTCCCTGGCGTTGCCGTAGTCCAACCTTTCTAACGCCGCCATAGAGCTTCCCCTCTCTCCGAAGAGTAGATGTTCCGCTCCACCGCAACTTGGAGGTACTTACGCCGTCACCCTCTACTTTAACGCTCTCTTAGCTCAGTCCGGAGACTTCCCCAGGATCCATCGCGAGGAGGTGGAGCGAGGTAGTAGGAACCCAGGATCCCT